AACTGACCAAAATGATAGTAATAATAATAATAATAATAATAACAATAATAATAATAATAATAATAATAATAATAATAATAATAATAATAATAATTCTGATATTATACCGCATTCACAATTCGAAACTCATTTAATCAAATATCTTCCTTGGTGTCCATCATTTCAAAACTTGCCATTTACTGATAATGATCCTAGAAATCTTTGGGATGATGATTTTCTGATCACGAGTTTAATTCCACAACTTCGTGCTGAAACTATTCACCTTAAAAGCAATCCTGCACCACCATATACAGTATGTGGTGCATTTCTTCATAGGCGATCAGGTAACAAACGCGTTTATAAATGCAAATTATGTCAACATCCACAAAGTGCTACACAACTTTATTCATTCTATGAGATTCGATTACATTTGGTAAGAAGCTCTCATAATGTTCGTGTAATTGAAGATAATATGATTGAAGTTGTTTCTGAGGTTTTTGATAATGCGGAAATTGCTCAAGAATTTCCAAGAAATAAACCAGAAATCTTTTTTGCGGCAGGTTTTAATGTTAATTTGATTGTTAATTTATAACGATAATGTTTAAAATATGTATGTTTAACAATCATTATTATTACATTATTATTGTTACATTATTATTGTTACATTATTATTGTTACATTATTATTGTTACACTATTGTTAGTTTTATTTCAATTTTTTTTTTCTTTATTTCTTTTTTTTTCTTCTCTCTCTCTTCATTTTTTTTTTTTTTGTTTTACATTAAGTTATTCTTGCATGCTTTCCATTGTTATTAACGTTAATCACAATCCTAAGCTTTAACTACTTTTATGGTCTTTTTTTTTTCTTCTTTAATTGCATCTTTTTATAGATTTTTTTACTTACCTCTTTTTTTTTTTTTTCCTTGAATGGGGTTATATGATATGTTTTTTAAGATTATAAGGTCTAAATAAGCGATATAAAAAAAATAAAAATAAAAAAAAAGTAATATATATAATATACAGTATATAATATATATATTACAAAAAAAAAAAAAAAAAAAAAAAAACCTTATAATCTTTATTATTTTTATACCGATACAGTCTTATAATTGATATACAGGATATCTTCGTGAAGATCCGATGAGTGTTACACAATAAATGCAAACCTGACGCTAATCTATAAAAACCACCTCAATTCGCCTTTTTCCCAACTTTTTCAAAAAAATCACTCATCCAATTTTAGGGTGCGTTTTGTTACTTACATTCTCCGTATGACTTTCGAATTTGAACTTGGTATATAATGATTATAATTTTATTAAAATTAATAAAGTAATAAAGTTCATATTCGTTTTTTGCATTCAAACACAATTTTTCAAAATCGTTAATTTTGTTCATTTAATCGTTGTACTAATTATAATTATCACAAAAAAAAAATAAATTATCAATGATTTTAAAAAGCATGATTATTTAGAAACAACACAAAGTTTTTTTATTGTATTTATTTAATACATACATTGGTAAATTTATTATAATACATATTTAATATCAATAACGGGAATAGCCCATTTCTTTCGGGAAATATCAATGAAGAAATGTAGTACAGTAGTACAAAAAACCGAAAATCGAAATTAATTATAATTGATGATTTTCAAAAAGTCGATCAAACGCAGAATATAAAGTTTGCTAAACCTAATAACGTTTACTTTACTTTATTAAGTTAATCGTGTACCGTTATACATTGTTTTTTTCACAAGTAATCTTGTTATTTCTTGTAATTGTTTTTTTTAAGGTTACATTATTCCATATAAATGTTTCTAAAAAATGCATTTGACGATTTTTAACGATGTAAGGCGCGTGTAAAAATCCTTTTTTGACCTTTTATTAGGAATACAAATTTCTATTCCTTCAATTAATCCTGTCAGGCTGTGTTGCGCATTAGTGGCATAATGGCGTAATCACAAATCTGTCTTTTCAGATAAGATATCATATTTATTATACATAAATAATATAAATAATAATTTATTCTATTTATTAGTATTATTA